CAAAGTATTTACGGTACAACTTTTATTTATAATAAAAAAATAATAGAAAATTTGGAAAATTTGAATCCCACCTTTGTCGCATCTACTTATACAAGGATAAGGATACCTGCCAAACAGAATTGAAGAGAAGGGGGGTTTGGCTATTGTATTTATTTAAATCCAATTTCATTAATTCCTTCATTTCATTCTTAATCCTTAATCTTCAATCGTCGTCCTAAGTTTTGATTGCTGCGGATGATATTGTTCTATTTATCTATCTATTACTATATATATAGTTCCTTTATTAATAATGGACTTCAATTTAATTCTTCTATTTTTTTATAAATAACTCAAATTTAACTTTTATTTTTTTTTATTTTATTTTTTTTTTGATCAGTGGGAATTGGGGGATAGGGGGTAGATATAATATTGTTGCAGCATTGGCAGCTAGAACTCTTGGCATAGAAGCCAAGAGGAAGGTGCACTTCCAACGCGGCCGGAGCCACAAGTGCCAAATTTAACTTTTATTATTAACTTTTTGTTAGAGTATTTAAAAAATTTAATAAAAACCATTAAATTTAAGTTAATTCTTTAAAAATAAAAATTTAGGGTAGCATATTGCATCAACATTTGTTTAGATAATGATTGACTTCAATGTAATAATTTTAGGGGGGTAATTTACACATTTAACCTTTAAAAAAACCAAATTAGCTAATTAAAATTAGACCATGGGGCACCCTTTTTTTTGAATTTTACACAACCTTTCTTCACAAAAAAGCCCTAAAGTACTCTCCTTGTAAAACTGCCCATACAACTTCTGTTTAATTCCTCCATGTTGCGTTGTTATTCATTAATATACTCGCAAGAATCTAATTATTTATCGACAAGTTTTGTGAGTCCTTTGCACGCTAGCTATTTGATGGAATGTCTCAATGGAGTCTTTCTTTCTTTCTTATAACTCTAGACTGAGGATTTAGGCATAAGTCTAAGTCAAAATTGGGTTAAGTCCTTAACGAGTCATGTCTAGATTTTGCACAAAAATTGGTCGTATGTTAACTATGTCATGTGTTTCTGGTTTATATTCGCAGGTATATATGACTGTTAGTTGAATGTGGGCAAGGAAATTGTTATAGAATATTGTAGATATGTTTTTTCGTTTCTTTTCTTTGTCGAACAGCTGCTTGATGTTTACATCATTAATTGATTGATTGTTTTTGGTTTGATCGCTAATTTGTGATTTATATTCTTCATGTTCTGGATTTCATTTTGCAGTCTTATCTTTTAGGATAAGGGTTCTTCTCCACAGACATCAATTATGCATGCATGGTCGTAGAATTTAACTTATCCTTGCACACATAATTAACAGGCGCGCTGCTGCAGTTTCTAGAGGTAATGCTATAGGGACCGATCGGTCTCCAAGCCGATTGGTCCCTATAGTTTTTTTGATTTTTGCTTCTTAAATTTAAAATTTTCAATTTCACCCTGTTGTCCTATAATTTTAATTTTTAAATATTAAACCTTAAACTTTGAAAAAATAAATCCTAACACATTAAACACCAAATTTGAAAAAAGTTTAAACATTATAAAATATATAACTCAGAAAATCTAAATTCTAATATCATAAAATATGGAACTCAACAAATTTAAACCCTAAGTCCTTAAATACTAAACCCTAACACCCTAAACACTTAATCAAAAAAAAAAAAAAATCTAAATCCTAACCTCCTAAATATTAAACTCTAAAAAATTTGAACCCTAATTAACATAATAAACATTCAATTTTAAAAAATCTAAATCCTAAAAAATTTAAATTCTAACATCTTAAACCTTGAACCCTAAAAATATAATATAATCCCTAATATTACAATCACTAAACCCAAAAGCCCTAAATTAAAGAAATCTTGTTTGATTTTAAAGACTTAAATGATATCTTTTAAATATATGGACTTAAATGTTATAGTCTTATAACTAGAGGTTGGCAAGATCTAGATTCTAGAGAATAACACAAACAGGACGAAAAAAGAGAACAAATTAAAAAGGAGACTTGGTGCCGGATTGTAGCTCTGATACCATGAAACCGTGAATAATGCCTCTTGTTCGAATGCAGAAATAGGGTTACATATTTATATGTACATACAACATCTGATTACATAAATTACATAAATACCCTTAAATATAGTATACTGTTAGAGTTAGTGTTGTCGGTACTACACTGGCTGGTATGTACCAGTTTTTTAAGTTGATCAAAACGGTATAAGTTTAAATTATGTTTTGGTCAAATTTTAGGAATTTCGGTCAAATTTTGATATACCAGTTGAAATTTAGGGCCTATTTGGCTCTACTTCTTGAAGTTTTAGCTTCTTGAAGTTTTAGCTTCTTGAAGTTTTAGTTTTTTTACACTATTTATGTTTCATAAGTTTAAATTTACCTCTTAAAAACTTACATTTTTAAACCTTTTTTTTTTTAA